GTGACTTGAAAAACCCCCTATGTAGGTTTACGTGGTGGTATATTTTCTTTTATCAGCACAATGTCTGAGGTTAAGAGCTTTTATAATTGTAAAACAAACATGTTTTGACTTGAAATTGGTTAATAAGCAGATGCTATTGTGTCTGTTAAATGCCGGTTGTCACACTTCCATAGGAAAGAGGCAGTAAAATCTCAAAAGAGTTTTGATCAAACAAAGACAGTAAATGGTTCAACGTCCATCACAACTCGCCGAAAAAAGCTCGGTAAGGAAGTCCTTGTCAAGATATACAATAAACTCTAATGCTGCGAAACAAAAGACCCTTCGCCGCTCACCACAAGGTAAAAGGTTTTACGCTTGGTATAAGGATTCTGTCCAATTCTTTTTCTACTTCGAGATGGCGGTCTGAAAAAACAGACAGGCGTAAAAATGGCAGAGTGATCTTCTAACACGCTAACACCTGCCACAGAAAAAAGGGTTCTTAGGGTTAAGTTTCACTAGACCAACAGTAAACACAGTCTATCCTTGTCTGACAACAACAGCTTCCATTAGCGTGACTTCAGCAAGCTGATTTGCACGTTTTCTGCTAAAAGGCTGTCATTTACTTCGTGCACAACGTGGAAAAGGAAATGTGCGTTTACCCCACTCGGAGAATTATCACCCGTGGACTTAATTCAACTTCAAAATGTTTTCTAAACAAATCCAATGCAAGATTGATCTGCTTTAAAGACAGACGCACAGATTTTTCCCAGACTGTAATTATTAACCGCCTCCCGATTAGCTCAACCGCCTACCAGTTACCTCAATGGATAGAGCGCTGGACTGTTGTGCGGGAGGTCGAGGGTTCGAGGCCCGGCCGGACCAATACTCAGGGTCTTAAAATAATTGAGAAGAATTTGCTACCTTTCTATGACATCAAGAAGGGGACAGACGCACAGATTTTTCCCAGACTGTAATTATTGGTGGAAAGCTCATCAAAGTCAACGCTAATTGTACGTCATTAAAATTCAATCATTGCCTAGAGATAAAGGAAATTTTTGCAATTAATCCGGCACCGATTTTTATCTTTAACTTTCAGAGTTGAACCAGTGCATGACAAGGACACTGATCCAATGATATGTCGATTTTCAATATTCGAAGAAATGCCGCCTCCACGTGATGGCAAAAAGGAGCAACGTTCTGAAAATCACTCAGTAATTCACTTCAGAATTGACGAAATTGGCCCAAATTTAAAAATGGTCAATCGAAAACAGCCTTATATAATTAAACGGAATACAAGGTTTGGAGCTCGAGAACCAACCTCTTCAAAATTACCTTGGATAGGAATCTTCTGAAGTTGAGAGTTTTCCTTAGTTTGATGCGAAGACCGTTGATATAAGATAAAATTGCATAGCCATGGCGAATATTAATTTTTTCGCCTCGTGTTTTTATGGTCGTTCTGATTCAAATGCTGTTGCCGGAATACTTTCGACTTTCTGTATAGGAAAAAAACCACAGCAGAAAGTATCCATTTATCTATGTATCATTCTAGAAATCTGAAATTCTAAAGCGTCTGCCAATTGAGTTAGCAACAGGAATCAAGTCAGTGATTTTGTATCGCAATCAGGATG